TGTGCCGTGGTCCTTAATCGACGTTGCTGGCTGATGTGGGTTCTTGGGGATGGCATGGTCCTCGATTGAGCCACGGGTGTTGGTTGGTTATTCGAACATGGCGAGCTCCAAGGCAACATTCTTTTGGCGGCTGTATCGGCGGCTGTATAGGGGTTGTAACCTCCATTCCTTGCAAGACGTTCTTCGGCGCCCTTAACCCATGGGCTCGTCTTGAGAGGCATGATCTTTGATTGGTTCTATGAGCTGACGCTGTAGCTCAGTGATGTTATGTAATTGATCTTGATCTGGTTAATGGCTGTTATAGCTCTGACGCTATGATTGACTGATGTTGTATCTAGATGATGTTGCCGCTGTTTGGATTCGTAAGCAGATGTCTCTCTTCTTCTTGGTTGTTCAAAATGGTAGATGCTGGTTTTTTCTGCCACTTGGTTGTGTCATTTTTAAATATGCAAACGAGGAGGACCTGCGAGAGTAGCGTTACAAGTTAGATACCATCGTTTAAGCTGTCCAGCAAGCTATATCTTCACAGGAATAGGTATCGTTGATGGTCATCGATCTCTACGAAGAAACAACGACCGTAACATGATCAAAGACTTACCTCAATCAGTGATCCTAGAGACGTGAAGCTAGAGGCAGTTCACCGAAAACCTCATAATCTCTAGGGACTGAGGCACACAAGGTTGACGAAGCACCTGTGCCAGAACTTTATAGATCACAATTCAGGCCCTTTTTTTGTTTGTGCTCAACATCTTTATTTTTCTGGCAAGTTTTCAATCATCGTGGCTAGGAATGATGGGGTTTCGATACCTGCCCTGGTTCGACAGAGGTCAAAAATCTCGAAAGCCCTCCCTTGACAGGTTGTTGGATCTGGATTTCGACAACTTTAACATCGTGTTCAAATCAGGTGCCCTTGAGTCTTCCCCATTCAGGCGCGGTCTCAACATGTCCAGTAGCCTCGTCGACCACTTTACCTCTATCCCACTCCCTCCCTTCGCCCTTCTTGACCCATCGAACATCTTCTTCCGTCTTCTCGCTGCCCTTCTCCCATTTCTTGATTTCGTCCTCGGTGAAGCCAGCTGCACGGAGCCTATCGCCCTGCGTCTGTTTGAACTTGGCTCGATCTCTCATTGCTTCGAGAGCCATTTCCCAGTCGTCGCTTGGTCCTACTTCTGGCTCGACATCAGCGTGCGGGTTATAAGAGGCAGAGAAGTGCGAGTCCATCGCTGAACTCGAGATGGCACCGCGACCTCTGACTTTGACCGCAGGAGGGGATTGCGGAGGGATTGGACCGACAATATCTTCAAGCGGATCTGAATCTGAATCTTGTTGTTTTGGTCTCGCGCGCGAAGCTCTGGTAACAATAGCAGTAGGAGGTGAGGGGGCGACATCCCAGCGATTCGACCTTCTCGCTAAGGCTGGTGGTCTAGGAGAGTCCGCATCCAAGGTTTCATCATTACGACTGTGCCGAAGCGAAGAATGTGTGTGCTTGCTAGCACTTCCGACCTCATGATTTCGCTTGCGACGATGCGATCTTTCTTTTGATCTCGATCGAGATCTTGAACGACTGGGAGATCTCTTTTGCCGACTCTTCCTATGTGATCTTTCCCTCTCCCTAGACCTTTCCGGAGAAGCGCTCCTGCCCCTGCTTCTGTCATGTCGTGTGCTCTTGCTGTGTCTGTCCGGTCGTGCAGATTTACGGTGGCTGCTGTCCTCACCCGAATCTGATCTGTTCCTGCTCCTACTTCGGTGTCGCCTAAGATTTTCTGCTCTTCTGAACGACTTCATGATCGCCTGATCAAGGCTATCATTCTTCTCTTTAGCACGTTTGTGAGCCTTTCGCGTGCTGCGCTCGTCGTCGTTATCCTCGTTGTCATCTTCCCGCCTCGATCTTCTGCTAGGAATACTGCGTTCTTCTGATCGGTCTCTCCTGGACTCCAGAATTTCAAAATCTTGCGGCGGGCTCAAACGATTACTGTCCCTTGCTATCACGTCAAGTCGTCTTCGCTTCTTGCGATGTCGCTCTTCGCTGCGATCTCTGGGGCTCCGACCTTCATTTGCAAGCTTTCTGGCCTCTCGTGCCTCCGATTCGCGCAAATCCTTCAGTCTGACTCTTGATTCTTCGGCCTCTTTCGCCAGGAGTGCTTGGTTGTGGCTGTTGGTTTCACGAATGATGTTGCGTAGGAATCGTTTGTTAGGCTTTGGAGCTTCAGCATTTGTTCTAGCGAAGCTTATATAAGTATAAGATGTATAGGAGGCGTAGACTTGGCATACTTTTGAGGCATATATGCGCGCATGCCTATGAGCGAAGCGCTCTGGTTGGCCTTCTTCGCGTCTTCCTTGAGCAGATTGGCGACATAGTCGTCGTCCAGAGGGCCGTCCATAGTGATGTCCCTATGTCCCTCCCGGATCAGGAGAATATGAGCAGTGTTGGCTGTGTTTTTGGGAATTGTAGATCTACTGGTAGCGATCCCCCACGTTTTGGTGGTTCTCAATTGCGGCTCATACGCTAATCCCTGCAAACTCTTCTGCCCGCGCACGTCAGGCTTTGTTTACATCCTTCAGCGAATAGATACAACAAACAAAGCCGTGTCCGACCATGGACATCCTTTCGAGACCCGAATTCAAAAGCGAGCTTGCCATTATTCGACTGGCAAACAATATCAGCAAGTCTAGCGCCAGCGAGAAACGATCGTCTGATGTGTCGACAGACAGCACATTCGAGGGGACAACTCCAGCAGGACTCGCTGTAGAACTTGTACACTACAAGGTAGAACAGACCAAAGAAAAATGAAGATGATTCGCGCTGATTGAATAGGAACTTTTCTCGAAATTGCGCTTCTCACACAACGAACAAGTTACCAAAGAGAAATTCCTGAAAGCAATCACTTCCGACACGCCGTTATTTATTGAGCCTCAAGAAAATGCACGACTCGAAGCTCAGCTTGTCGAGGAGAAGGCCGCCTTGAAAATACATAAAGAGGAAGTTGCTAAAATGGCCGAGGATCTAGAAAGGAGAGGCAAGGAACTGGCAAGACGTAAGCAACATCTCAAGCGAGAATTGAATTGAAGGTACTGACTTATGTAAAGGGTACGAACAAGTCGAGCTTCAGAAAACCATTCTAGCAGATCTACCTGAACAAATTGTCAACCTACAGGCAATCATCGAAGCTCTTCGCACGGAGCACCCCTCACCGGCCAAATCTACGAACCCGAACCTCAACCTCCCACTACCAGCAACACTGACCTTGCTCTCCGAACGCGAATCGGAGTTATCTGCGTTGGATGCCCAAATCCGTGCATTGCAAAATAACGTGCCTAGAAAAACGCGTGAATTGGAGCGCCTGGAATCAGAATTACAACCACTGTTGGCCCAGAAGAAGACAGTCGTTGGCCAAGCAAAAGAAGCTAGGAAACGAAGAGAAGAAGGCGGTGTGGATGATATGGAGCAGAAGGGACGATGGTACCGAGCTTCGCATATGGCTTTGTCACAGATGCTGGGTGCGGAAAGCTGAAACACTTTCAAATTTGCTTGATGGAGCCTGGCCATGGCCTGCAATTCTGGAGTTTTGGAGCACGAAATGGATATATCAGGACAGGATAGGGATCAGTCACGTTCGGCTTTGTCTGTATGTCAAGTCGTCATACCAACTATGAAAGAGCTTTTTGCTGTTCTTACCAAACACAACCACTGATCTCTTTCAAGCAGTGGTGATATATCATCCAGCATGGGAAAGAAACTACTAGCCCGTGGACTCTTCATCAGTCATAGGACCGCATTCTCTTCGAGTAGCATAAATCAAGCCTCCCAAAAGCGTTACTTTCCACGTACTCCGTTATTCTTTGCAAAATCGAGGTCCACAACAACGGCGACAAATCAAGACACCAACCAAGTACCAGCATGGCAAGAATCAGAATCACGTTGGCCGCGCTCCTCTCACATTTCTGTCCCAAATCCAAAGAATTCACCTTGGATTGTACCTGGTGTCTAATGCCTGTCACCTTCACTTATCGCTCCAGGAAAGAGTTGGCGAAGAAATGCGCGGAGCATAATCGAGAATGCTACGACGTGTGGAGGTGGAGTGGCATTTTTGGGGAAAGATTGTGGTGAACTGGTGAACTGGTGAACAAATTTGCATACTGTAGAGTCATTGTCGGTTCTGGTTGCTGTGTATGGAGAGTATGGGGAATGACTTTGATTTGCTACCTAGGTGATTGATTGTGTGGCTTGTAACACTTCGTGTCGAGCAATAGAATGTGTAGTCAACGCTTGATCGGTGATAAAGTTACGGCTGTTTGGGACTTCGATAGATAAAAGCCTCTGGGAGTGGCTTTCAATACTACGGTCATTGCATAAGGTACCTAAGAGCGCATCGAGTTCCAATATCGAGATGCCCCTTTTATTGTGCTCCCCCTTTCAATCCCCAAAATCTACAGCTAAGATCGATTCAGAACAAGTCAAGGAACCAAACCTGGAATCAATCCTCATAAACCGAGTTTCTGAACTTCAACCACGACCAAATACCCAAACAAATAGAAAAAACATTTCCTCAAGCACTACCTCAGACCCACGTCCTCCAAACGACGCGCGCCAGTGCAGATCCCTCTCCTTTCTCACCACTCTCCATCCAAAATACAAATGGGACTCCGACCCCGATTTCCAGGCTTTACCATCGAAACCCCTTTCCCGCATCAAACCTCTAGGGGAGGCAAAAGAGAGTCGACGGATGGGATTGCAGGGACACACGAGACACTGTAGGTGGTGTAGACATTCGATTTGCTTTTGGGTAAGGTGTGAGTGGGAGGCAATTGAGAGGGGAGCGGTGCATGAGAGTGAATGTGGTAGGAAGTGGGAACCTCGGTGTGGACAGGGACCACCGGCTTAGGTAATCATGGCGTCAATTAGGTAAACATGACAACCTAAATGAGATTATGAGAAGAATACATTCTATGATTATAAGCCGAAAGAACGACGAGGAATAGAAAGGGCAAAAAGAAACTCTTGATTTCGCCCGGGCTCGATCCGGGGACCTTCAGTGCACGACGAAACTTGCTAAGCAAGCAGTTGTTAGACTGACGTGATAACCAACTACACCACGAAACCTGTTGAATCTTGCCTGTAATTTTCAGAAATTGCGATTCTATCCCTTGTGTGCGCGAGGTCGATATGGCCTTATCGATTGGCTGTGGATTCGGGGCGTGAGTAAGGCTGAAACTTACAAAATTAGATATCATGATTCTAACAATTTGCGCGATGAGACTACTACATTGAGGCATGAGTCAAGAAGATGAGTGATATAGAATTTTTGGGTTCCAAAAATCGTCGCTGCTGATCTTAGGACTCAGCGACGAGGCTGAACAACCTTCAGCCCTAACGCGAGGCTGATGATCAGCGAATAGTCCGTGTTTACCAACGAGCCGATATAGCCATCAAGTTGGGAAAGCGCGATGACGAAGCAGTGTCTGGTCACTAACGAGAGAAGTTGCTGATCGGCCATGGGAATCTTGGTTGATGAGTTGCATGAAGATGATTTGTCGAAGTTCTTGGAAAGGCTGACTAGCATAGTGCCTGCTTTTGCCAGCTACCTTTACCCTCGGCGTCTGGCGAATTAGAAGTAGTCACCTCCACTCTGAGGTCGGTGGCATTAGCTTTCTTGCCAGTTTCCCTACCACTAGCGCGAGAAATGAATCGTTGTCGAATTGAGTTGGTCAAAAATAAATCGGGTAACACTCTTACTTGTCTCGTCAACCGACGACTAACGAAAATAAAGCAGTGGCTATGACAGGCTGGTTTTCACCCTCGATCAGGAAGTAGCTTCCCACGATGCTGCAAAACATTGTCTTCGCCAACAGTGGTGACAACAGAAAACGCAACTCAATATAGATTCAGTCTCAGACTTCACTTTCAGCTCAATTTCAACTTCACTCTTACCAAGAAACATAAGAAGCAACGATCACAACCATGGCCAACATATCCCACAGAAAGCGCCCATCATTATCCGAACGCTCGCCTCCCCCAGAGCCAACTGTGACTATGGTACAAACGAACCACGCCAAAATTGCGGTAACATCAATTGGCCCGCATGATACTGCCATCCATCCCGACGTCTTTCTCCACCCTGTAATTCTTTGCATCCACGGCAACAGGTATGCCTACTGTTTCAATGTCAATAACGTTCGAGAATAATCGCCATCCATGTCATAGCACCACTTTTTCGTTGATATCGCTTTCATAACAATGATCAGAATTGCTATGGCTGACCGCAAGACAACAGTTTCGACTCCACAATCTTCAAGCATATTCTCGCCTCTCCTCTCCAAAAAACCCACAAGATCATGGCGATCGACCTCCCTGGCCACGGGAAAAGCGAAGATGCAATTGATCCGAGCAAGACCTACAACCATCCCGGTTACGCTGATTGCGTAGTCGAGCTACTCCTGATTATGGGTATCATGGAGGTCATAATCCTTGGCTGGGACTTGGGCGGTCACGTCGGGATCGAGATGTTACCTCGCTTTCCATTCATAAGAGCAATGATGCTTGTTTCGACACCACCGCTGGGACGCGGAAAAGACGAAATCGAGATGGCGTTCCACTGGGGAAATGGATGGGAGAAAGCTCTGTGCGCGAGAGGTGATCTCGATCCTGACGAATGCGTCACTCTCGCAGAGACGGCCATTGAAAAGGTTCCGAAATGGGGAAATACTGTCTCTGAATTCTGGAAGTGTGTCAAGCGCACGGATCAGAGGGCGAGAAAGATGATGTATGAACACTTGGCGGCAGGCAAGTGCTCAGACCAGAAGAAGATCGTTAGGGAGACGGGGGTGCCGATTGCGATTGTGAATGGGGCGAAAGACCACTATGTCAACTTGAAATTCTTCGAGGGCGTCGAATTTGGGAACCTCTGGCATAATACTTGTTTTCAGATACCGGAGTCCATTCGTGCCCCTTTCTACGGAGACCCTAAGGCATTTGAGCCTGGCTTCAAGATCTTTGTGGAGGAACATTCGGGGTCCAGCCTAGGGAGTGCAGCGAAAGTAATGGCTCTCAAGCTGCGGGCAAAGGCCGGAGAGAAGGAACCAGAAGATAAAGGGGAGAGGATTGGAGGAAGGGATGGATCGAAGACTGGCTCAAAGAATGGCTCAGACGATACAAGAATGAATGTGGAAGCAACAAAGACCGGAGAGGGGAAACCAGAAGGTGGAAAGGGATATTCAACAGCCGAAGAGGGGACTTCGAAAGAGGAGTTGGAGGGACCGAAGGCTGGAGAGGAGGAAATAAAGGCGGAAGAGAGACCACGCGAGGCTTTGGCAGCGAAATCAAAGCCTACATGGGCTAGTGTTGTGGCTGGCGCAGTTGGCAAATCTTCCACCTCCGTATCCGAATTCGCAATTTCTCCTACCAAGGAAGGTCTCACACCCATCGATACCAATGTTGGACAGCAACATGTAAAGGGAGCTTGATGGCCGGAGAGAAGAGCTGATTTCTGTTACGGAGGGCGTCGTCATGGAAGAGCGTGACATAGTCCCGATTGGCGTGGTCTAGATGGGCTTCGCATTGGTCTGCATTCGCGATGGCTTGTTCTGATATGGTTCACATTCGCGTGGTTTGCTAGCCTTAGCATGGTTTTAATTAGCATGGAACTGATACCCAAGCATGGTTACGATGGTTAGAAGACATGCAACAAGGACAAACATGCTGCTAGCAATACATTAAATAAAGCATACGTAAATCACAAGGAAGCAACTTACTTATCTCCCCTCACCGGGCATCCAATTTTTCTAGCTAGATCAGCCTCATTTCGAGGAAGGCGTTGGGACTGAATACCTTATTGCTCCGCATTCGAGTATCGAGTCTCCATACAACACGTGATACTCCTTGGAGCTTGGGTACTACTTGCGTTAGTGCATTCGATCGTCACATCAGCGCATCGAGAAGGCTCATTGCCTGCCAACACATCGTTCTAGCAAGAGTTCTATTCGTGACCAGCTTTGTGGTATCCCGTGTCGCGCTTCAGAGCTGCCTACAAGACATGACGACAGATTGGTTGGCGCAGACCCTGCTCGAGCGATCGTACTTGCATTTATTGTCAAGGCAGGATTTTGTCCAGAAATCACCACGCCTGTGGAACCGAGCTAAATAGTGAATTGAGCATTGAGCAATCATGTCTTGCATGTCTTGCAACGTCTTGTTGTTTGTAACGAGATTGAGGGGAACCAAGCTCGGAACTGAAGACATGGAGCCTTCGTGATCACCGAATTCCGCGTATCTGGGAATGCGATTAGCTGAAAGGAGGGAGGGGAAGAAGCCTCAACTCTGGATTGTAATGACGTCGCTTTCTTTACACAGACTGAGCAACAAGGATAAACATACTCTGACAAACCTCCTGACGTGAAGAAAGATTGTGCGATCTCTCCTATGAACAAAGTTCGAGTACAAGAACGAAATAGAGACGAGGAGGAAAAACTTGGCGCATTCAGTTGCTTCGATAATATTGCTCCGATGAAACACACATATACGCCATCCACCAAATACCTCACCACTAATCCTTAAGAAGGCTCGATGGTGTAAGTTCTCACCCTCTACTTCACGGCCACGCTCTATCACGCCGTTCGAGTCAGCCATTAATGTGTGTACAGGGAGTTGGTTACCACGCCAGTCTAACACAAAAGTGAGAACACTGGAGGTCCGCAGATCAAAGCTGCGTCGAGTCAATGGATTTGATCCTTTTTCTTTTTGCCGGTTCTTACTGTTGCTGGGGAGTCTATGTAAGAAAACTGTGTTTTGTCTTTTTTGCCGAGACCATGTAGAGTACACCACAAAGGCAAAGACCGAAGGTGGGTTGAGGGACACTTGTTATCGTGTAAAGGCAGTACGCTCAACCAACACGTCGGTGTCTTTTGCAAGGTCGTATCTACACCGACTCTCGATGTGTAAAGATATTGGAACAAGAAGATGATCGATGAGGAAATAGGAATCTTGAGGCCAGGAGGATTTTAAGATGACTTGGGTCACGAAACTAATTCTCTGCGAGAAAACCCACCCCTCGAGGCCTTTCTCTGTCCGCCAAAGTTAGATCATCTTGACGATATTAGCGCATGGTGGAATTATGCCTTGCGGTCAGAAGCACGGTGTTTGATTCTCAGTAAACTCGCCATGCTCTGAAGAGCTCTCCAGAAGTTCTGCGCCTACGCACATTTCGCTATCGCTGATGCGATGGTAATGATCTTAGTCCACTGGAAAAAGGTTATAGATACTCACCTCCGCATATCCCCAAATGTCCCACAAGGCTGCGAAATGATTGGCTCGCCCTCAACATCGGGAGCCTGCGGATCCTGCCTTTGTCTGGACCGATGCTGCCGATCAGTCATCTACCTTCATGCAGAATCATGTAAAGTCTGGCAGCTTGATAAGAGAACAGGCCGAAAAGGAATAACATGCGTTTCCTCCCTACATCACAACCAAGTCGAAATTATGAGGATGGTTGGTCAAGTTAAAATGGTCGCTAGAAGCACATTAGCACCAAAGGCTAAAATACTCTTCTGGCCACTCGGTCAGTCACCCGGTGGAATACATGACTGCCGGGATCTATGCGCCTTGCATCAAACACTTCTGCCTTCCTTTGAGCAGGACTGCAGAATACTGGAACGGATTATGATCTGAATCATCAGGGCCACGGGAGGTGAACAGTACCAGAGACTGCGTCATCTACCCATCACAGAAATATTCTCGCCTCTTACCGGGAAATGTCCTCCCCTCAGTTGTTGAAGTGTGGCCGCTGTTTTCCTCCTCCTCCTCCGCCGCCTCGGCCTCGATTCCTCCTTCTGCCTGCCCATCTGCCTCTCCCACCTCCAGAGCCTTGCCCCGAGCCCATGCGCTCCTCTCTTTCGCGTTCCCTGTCCTCTTCTTCTCTTACCTGTCTCTCGCGCTCTTCCTTCTCTCGTTCGAGCTCCTCGGGAGTCTTTTGTGTCAGAACCTCTGGCTTCTTAAGATCCGTGGGAAAGCGAGGATGCGCGCCTTCTTGACATCCTCTGCCGTTTGGACAGAATCCAGCCAGGTAGTATTTGCATATTCTCTCCTTACGAATGTGTCTATTGGCGCAT